AGGGGAAAAAAATTAACCTGGGTGGAAAAAAAATGGGGATGGAGGTGCCCCAGAGTGGGAAAAATCAACCCTGGGTGTGAAAAAACGGAGGTAAAAGCACCCCAAGGTGCAAAAAAAAATTGGTTGTAAAAATAGCCCAGGGTGGAAAGAGAGCCTCAGTGCAAAAAAATTCCCAGGGTGATAAAGAAATTGTAAAAATAGCCCAAGGTGTTGGGAAAAATCCAGCCCAAGGCGTTAAAAATGGTGTGTAAAAGCCCCCCAGTTTGGAAAAAATGAGTGTAAAAATACCATCAGGTATTTTATCATTTATTATTTTTACAAAATAAGACACTCTGGGATATAAAAATGCCTTGAGTGCAAAACAATGGTTATAAATGGTTTATTTCTTTTTTTGCACCCCAGGGCACAAAAAAAAAACAAAAACAAAAACAAAAAACAACCCAGAGTGAAAGAAAAATGGTGGTAAAAACACATCAGGGTGCAAAAAAAATCCCTGTGGAGAGCAGAAATTAAACCCTTGTGGTTCAAACCACCATTCTGGGGTGTAAAAACCAGCTCAGTCTGGGCTTCAGAGCACCCTGAGGTGCAAAAACTCTCATTTTGGGGTGGAAAAAAGTGAGACTTGGGGTTTGTTTTGCCCTCCCAGGCAGGATTTCTTCCTGCTGGCCCATCACTCCCGGCAGGGCTGCAGCGTCCCCACGCGCTACATCTGCATGTGGAACACAGCCAACCTCAGCTCCGAGCACCTGCAGAGGTGAGGGGGCCCGGGACCCCAAAATCCTGCCTGGGGAGGGGGGAAGGCCTCTGAATCGTCCAGGGGAAATTCAGGGATGTCAGAGTTCCTGAGATCCTGCTGCACCCCAAAATATTCCAGAGGGAAGGGGAGGGACTCTCAAAATCATCCAGGGGAAATGCAGGAATCCCCAAGTTCCTGAGATCCTACAGCCCCCCAAAATCCTGCCTGGGGAATGGGGGAGACCTTCAGAATCATCCAGGAAAAATTCAGGAATTCCAGGTTTCCTGAGATCCTGCAACACCCCAAAATATTCCAGAGGGAATGGAATCCTCAAAATCATCCAGGGGAAATGCAGGAATCCCAGAGTACCTGAATATCCCACAGCCCCCCAAAATCCTCCCTGGGGAATGGGAGATGCCCTCAAAATCATCCTGGGGAAATGCTGGAATCCTGGAGTTCCTGAGATCCTGCAGCAACCCAAAATATTCCAGAGGGAAAGGGAGGGACTCTCAAAATCTTCCAGGGTAAGGGGCTTCAGCCGCCCAAAATCCACCCTGGGGAATAGGAGACGCCCTCAAAATCATCCAGGCAAAATTCAGGAATGTCAGAGTTCCTGAGGTCCTGCAGCACCCTGAGATATTCCAGAGGGAAGGGGAGGGACCCTCAAAATCATCCAGGGGAAATGCAGGAATCCCAGCTTTCCTGGGATCCTGCAGCCCAAAATATTGCAGAGGAAGGGCAGGGATTTCTGCAGCTGCCCGAGATTCCAGAGCCCCCCCAGTTCCCTGGGCAGGGTTCTTACAGCCCCCCAAAATCCCCCCTTGGGCGTGGGAGAGACCCTCCAAATCCCATTTCTCCCCGTCCCAAGGACAGGGAGCTGCTGGGAGCAGGTTCTGGGAGGGATCCATCCCCTTTCCTGGGAATCCCAAATCCCATTTCTCCCTGTTCCAGGAGGGATCTGCACCTGGAATCCCAAATCCCAATTCCCTCCCTGTCCCAAGGACAGGGAACTGCTGGGAGCAGGTTCTGGGAGGGATCCATCCCCTTTCCTGGGAATCCCAAATCCCATTTCTCCCTGTTCCAGGAGGGATCTGAACCTGGAATCCCAAATCCCAATTCCCTCCCTGTCCCAAGGACAGGGAACTGCTGGGAGCAGGTTCTGGGAGGGATCTGGACCTGGCTCCATCCCCTTTTCCAGGAATCCCAAATCTCATTTGTGGGACACCTGGGAACTGGTTCTGGCAGGGATCCATCCCTTTTCCCACAATCCCAAATCCCATTTCTCCCTGTTCCAGGAGGGATCTGCACCTGGAATCCCAAATCCCAATTCCCTCCCTGTCCCGAGGACAGGGAACTGCTGGGAGCAGGGTTCTGGGAGGGATCCATCCTTTTTCCTGGAAATCCCAAATCCCAATTCCCTCCCTGTCCCAAGCACGGGGACACCTGGGAGCAAGTTCTGGCAGGGATCCATCCCTTTTCCAGGAATCCCAAATCCCATTTCTCCCTGTCAGTGGGACAGGGACACCTGGGGGCGGGTTCTGGCAGGGATCCATCCCTTTTCCCACAATCCCAAACCCCATTTCTCCCTGTCAATGGGACAGGGACAGCTGGGAGCGCCCAAATCCCAATTCCCTCCCTGTCCCAAGGACAGGGAACTGCTGGGAGCAGGTTCTGGGAGGGATCTGGACCTGGCTCCATCCCCTTTTCCAGGAATCCCAAATCTCATTTGTGGGACACCTGGGAACTGGTTCTGGCAGGGATCCATCCCTTTTCCCACAATCCCAAATCCCATTTCTCCGTGTCCCAAGCACGGGGACACCTGGGAGCGGGTTCTGGCAGGGATCCATCCCTTTTCCAGGAATCCCAAATCCCATTTCTCCCTGTCAGTGGGACAGGGACACCTGGGGGCGGGTTCTGGCAGGGATCCATCCCTTTTCCCACAATCCCAAACCCCATTTCTCCCTGTCAATGGGACAGGGACAGCTGGGGGCGGTTCTGGCAGGGATCCATCCCTTTTCCCGCAATCCCAAGCCCCAATTCCCTCCCTGTCCCCAGGCTGACCTTCAAGCTGTGCCACCTGTACTGGAACTGGCCGGGCACGGTGCGTGTCCCTGCCCCCTGCAAGTACGCCCACAAGCTGGCATTCCTGGTGGGCCAGGTCCTGCACCACGAGCCCAGCGCCCACCTCTGCGAGCAGCTCTTCTTCCTTTGACCTGCCAGGACCCCGAAATCCGGGAAAATTGGGATGGCACCTGGAATTGTGCCCGCTGCTGTTCGCCCCCCTGCCCGGGGGGATCTGCCTCGGTTCCCCGTTCTGGTGTTAATTTATTCTTTCTTCGTTGCTTTAGGGGATGCTGGGGGTTGCAGCAGCATCCCGGGGCTGTGGGGTTTTCTTTTGGGAATTCTCCCCGCGGGGGTGAGCCCAAAGGAATCTCCTGCTGCTTTCCAGCCCTCCCAGGAAAGGGGCTTGAGCTGAGGAGCCCCAAAGTGCTGCTGCTCCCTCAGCTCATCCCTGTGCAGGCGCTGGATGTAAATCCCAAAGATTTATGGGGTTTTCCCCCCCCAGTTTCTTGCATTTCCATGCAGGTTTAAAGTTTGGTTTTTTTTGTTTTTCCTGGGCTTTTCCAAGCTGCTGTTGAACCAAGCAGCTCCAGTTTGGCCGGTTCTCCCGTCCTTGAGGAGTCACTGGTTTTCCAAGGAGAATTCCTTGTGGATTCAGGCCGTTACCCCAGGGAAGGTTGGAGTTCTCACCTATTTTAGGTGCTTTTTTTGCCTCACTCAAGTTGCAATCCCCTCATTTTTCTCTTGGCTGTGACCAGTTTTTTGCCTCTTTCCAATAAACTCGTTGCTGGCAGCTGCTCCCTGCTGGGTTTTGGGGGTGCTGGTGGCCCCGTGCTGCCCCTCAGTGCCAGGACGGCGCGGGGACACTGCGGGGACACCGGGGCTGTCACCCTGTGCCCCGGGTTAATCATTCATCCCCGTTTGTTTGCCAACCCCGGCGGACTTTGGCAGCGTGGCCCAGCCTGGGGTGGGATTTGGGAACAAATCTTGGCCCTGGGGGTGCTGGGCTGGGGTTTTTGGGGTCCCCCAGCTCTGCCTGACCCCGTCCAGCAGCATTTTCTGTCCCAGCTCTGCCTTTTCCTGTCCCTGGCACAGGGTGGCTCTGGCTGCCGGGATTTGGCCCCCCCTGGGCTTTTCCAGGGGGTCCTTGGGGTCCCCCAGCCCCACCTGAGGGGTTGAGGGGTGGGCAGTGGTCCCAGGGGGGTTTGGGGGGTCCTTGGGGTGCCCTGTGCCCCTAAAGGGTGTTGGGGGAGGTGCCCCCAGGGGGTGTTGGGGGAGCTGGGGGGTCCCTTGGAGGGGTCCTGGGGGTCTTGGTGCCCTCAGGGTGGGTGTTCAGTGAGGTCCCAGTACCCACGGGTGGGTTTTTTGGGGGTCCCAGTGCCCACGGGTGGGGTTTTGGGGGGTCCCAGTGCCCCAGGGTGGGTTTTTGGGGGGTCCCAGTGCTCCTGGGGGGGTCCCAGTGCTCACGGGTGGGTGTTCTGGGTGATCCCAGGGGATGTTTTGGGGCAGTCTGGGGGGTCCCAGGTGGAATTTTGGGTGTCTCAGGTGGGATTTTTGGGGGTCTCGGTGCTCCTGGGTGAGTCTTTGGGGGTCTTTGGGGGTCCCAGTGGCCTGGGAGGGGTGTTGGGGCAGCTTGAGGGTCCCGAGTGGGATTTTTTAGGGGGTCCCAGATGCGGGTTTGGCGTTCCCAAGTGGGATTTTTTAGGGGGTTCTGGGTGAGATTTTTCAGGGGTCCCGGGTGGGATTTTTGGGGTCATGGGTGGAAATTTTTAGGGGGTCCCGGGTGAGATTTTTGGGGGTCCCGAGTGGGATTTTGGGGATTCTGGGTGGGATTTTTGGGGGGTTCTGAGTGGGATTTTGGGGAGTCCCCGGTGGGATTTTGGGGGATCCCGGGTGAGATTTTTTGGAGTTCCCAGATGGGATTTTTGGGGGTCCTGGGTGAGATTTTGGGGGGTCCCCGCTGGGATTTTGGGGGGTCCCGGGTGGGATTTTGGGGGTTCCCGGGTGGGATTTTGGGGGGTCCCGGGTGGGATTTTTGGGGGTCCCGGCGCTGCACCGCTGAGGGGGCGTGGCCTGAGGCGGAGGGGGTGTGACCGAAGGCGGCGGCAGCCAATGGGCGCGCTCCCCGTGCCGGCGGCCGCGCATGCGCCCTGCGCGGCCCCGAGCGGCGGCGGCGGGAGCGGGAGCGGAGGTAGGACCGGGATGGACCGGGATGGACCGGGATGGACCGGGACAGGCCGGGACAGGCACGGCAGTGCTGCCGTGCCACGGGGAACCGGCTGCGGGGGCCGGCCCCGCGGGGAGGGAGGCAGCGGAGCGCGGGGAGCGGGCTGGGGCCGGCGCCGAGCCCCGGATGGGGATGGGGGATGCAGGGAGGGATGAAGGATGCGGGCAGCGGCGGTTTGGGGTTGGGGCCGGTGCCAGCGCCTGGGGGCAGCCCTGGGAGCTCGTTTTGGGACCGCCCGTGGGGCCTGGGGCTGGGCAGGGTGCAGGTGGAGCTGCAGGACGCTGTCAGGGGGTGCAGGGCTCAGTTTGGGGGTGCGGGGCCCAGTTTTGGGGTCTGGCACCACCGGGGGAAGCTCTGGGACCGGGCAGAGGGTGCGATGGGGCAGGGACCGGGCGGCAGCAGCCGCTCCAGCCGGGGGGCACGGGCAGCACTGGGGGTCCCGGGGGGTGCGATGCCCGGGGCATCTCCCGGCTCCGCTGCCCGCCTGCCCGGCCCGGCTGCCATCAGGGGGAGAAGGGACAGGATTGTGTCCGGGAACAGACCGGGGTGTCGGTGAGGCAGGAACGGCCCCGCTGCCAGCCCGGGACAGCCGCGGGGCTCCGGGGAGCGCTCCTGCAGGACTCGTGCAGCGCCGCTGGCTCCGGCCGCACCGGGACGGACCGGGTGGAATTTGGGGTTCTGCTGGCTCCCATATCACCTGGCCGGGGTGGAATTTGGGGTCCCGCTGGCTCCCATATCACCGGGACGGGCCCGGGTGGAATTTGGGGTCCCGCTGGCCCCGTGCCCCGCTCTGCGGCCCCCCCTGCGCGGGATTTCGGGCAGCTGACGCCGCCGGGGTCACGCTGGGCTGTGCCAGCGGTTTTATTCCCGGCGGCGGGGGGGGATGTGCGGATGGCGGCCGGGATCTCCGGGAAGCGCAGCCCAGGCGGATGGGAAGGCTCTGCCCGGCCCCGGGAGCTGCGTGCTGCTGTCGTGGCATCGCTCCCGGGCACAGCCCTCCCGGGCAGCCGTCCCTCCGCGTGGCAGCGGCTCGTCCCCGTGCCCCGGCCCGATAAAGTAGGTCAGGCGCTGGCTCCGGGCTCCCGGAGCGCATCCCGGTGCAAGGACGCCCTTGGAGGTAGCGGGCAGGGGGGGCTCCGGGGGGTCGCAGCTGGCGGTGGCGATGGCGAGGCTCGGTGTTCCTTGGTGTTTGTCCCGGGATGCTGGGCTGGGTGTGCTCGGCACGCTCCTGCCCTGCCCTGCCCCGGGGTCCCGCAGCTCGGAGCCCCCCGGGATGTGCCGCTTCGGGCCCTTCTGTCCCGCAGGGGCGGCTCCTCCACCTCGTTTTGCCCTAAAACGGAGCGAGCCCGTGCAGCTCTGCCCTTCCTGCCTTTCCTGTGGCAGCGGGGGGAAAGTTGAGGTCTGGTTTTCCACCTGGGTGTATCCGGCTCAGCCCGGCTTTGGGAGAACCCCCCGGGAGGGGTTTTGGCAGCGGAGGGAGCTGCGTGCCTTGGCACGGGCCGGGCTGCAGGGAGCGGGAGGCTCCCGGTGGCACCGGGGGTTTGGGCAGCACTCGGCTGGAAAGGGCAGCCAGCGGGACGTGCGGCCAGCCGGGACAAACCTTTGGCACGTTGGGCTGTGTGCCAGCACCTGTGGGAGTCACCGGCAGCCTGGATGTCCCACGGAGCCCAGGAGGACCCACCTGGGAGGGGGGATTGGGATGGAGAGGCAGGGGAAGGGTCTGGGCTGGCTGGGGGATGCTGCAGGGGTCCCTCGGGTCCCCCCACCCAGCAGCACCGCTGTGCATGGGCTCCCTCCCTCGTTTTGGGAGGAGAGGGGTTAACTCGAAGCATCCGAGCTAAGCCCTAGCAGGAGAAGGCTGAAAGCTCCCGGAGAACAAAGCTCACAAAGTGGTGGTAAGCTGGTAAAACCTGTGGGAATGTGGGAGCCCTCAGGGGCAGTGGGGTCCTGCATGGGGAGCGGGGTCCTGCGAGACCCCAGAGCCCCTCGGCGTGGAAATCCTGGCCCCAGGTTATTTTTGGAACAATTGCTTGGCCGGGCTACAAAAATGTCCTGGTTTTTGGAAGAGACTGGAGCCTGTGAGCCGCCAGCACAGGCCCAGCTCTGCGGGGTGTCCAGGGCTGGGTGGGGAGCACCAGGAGCCCCTCCAGCAGGATCAGGAGGTGCACCTGGAGCCCCACACTGGGACTGGGGTGGCTGCTGCATTCATGGAGGCAGCAGACTTTTATTTTCTCCTTGCCAATCCCAAATTTGCCGTCCACCTTGCAGGGAAGCTTTCCCAGGAAGGCAGCCCGAGCTGCAGGCTCTTGGTGCCTCCCTGGGTGGACGTGCAGGTCGTGCCTGGTGTCCCCTCCTCTCCCTGAGCCCCTTCCTTTGCACCCCGGGCTGTGCCACCCCTCTTTTATCAACGGCCGGCCCATATGAAAGGGACAGAGAGGGCAAGGATTGATTCTGGGCAAACACTATAAAGGCACCTACAGTTAGAGCGGGGAAGCAGCCGGTTCATGGTAATTATCCTGGTTAAATTATAACCTGATGAACAGGCCACCTCTGTCCCCGGGGCTGCCGCGTCCCTCCGAGCGCTGGCATTGCCGTGTGGGTGACACCGAGGGGACCCACGTGTGGCCAGGGCTGCAGCGTGACTCCTGGCGCCCTGCAGAGCTGAGCTGGGGCTGGCACAGCTGGCTTTTGGCACAGCCCTGCCTGCTTCCCGACCATCCTGCTCTTGCCAGGGCCCCCGAGGTGCTGCGGAGCTGGAGAGCCCCCAGGAGCTGTGTCCTGGCAGCCCCCCACGGTGAGTGAGGGGCTTGGGGTGGCTCAGGGGGGAGGAGGGAGGGCATTGCATGGAAAAATTATGGAAAAATACTGAATTCTCCTCAGGATCTGGGTGCTCGCAGCGCTGTTCCCACTTTCCCTGAGGATAAATCCCTCGGTGGGGCGGAGGAGCCGCGGTTGGAGCGCCGGGAATGCCAAAGCCAACAGCAGTGTGGTTTCTCTCGCAGCATCCCAGAGGCACCATGATCCCCAGCGTGGGCCCCCGGAGCCGCTGCCTGCTCCTGCTGCTCTGCCTCCTCCCCTGGCCGCAGGTCCGGGCGGGCAGGGACAGCCCCGGCGTGTCCGCAGCCTCCTTCCTGCAGGATCTGCTCCAGCGCTACGGGGAGAGCCAGACCCTGAGCCTGAAGCAGCTCAAGGCCCTGCTGAACCGCCTGGATGTGGGAGTGGGACACGCCAATGCCTCCCAAACACCTCAGCAGCGCCTGAACCTCTCCCGTGTAAGGAGGGGACCCCAAAACCTCCCTGTGGGCCCCCAAAACTTCCCTGCGGAGTCCTGAGATCTCCCTGCGGAGCTGTGGGGGTCTCAAGGCACGTTTCTCTCCCTTCCCTCCCCCAGTGCTTCAGCTCCGTGGAGCTTTTTGCCATCCACAACCTGAGCGAGGGCTCCCCTGTGGGGCACAGCGAGTTCAAGGAGTTCTGCCCCACCATCCTGCAGCAGCTGGAGTCGGGGGCGTGCGCCTCCGAAAACCTGGAAAATGAGGAGAATGAGCAGACAGAGGAGGGCAGGCCCAGCTCAGCTGAAGGTAATTGGGGTGCTGGGGGGGAGCTACAGACACTGTCTGGTTCTGGACATGAGGAACAGCCAGTTCCCACTCCTGGGAGTTCCCTGCCTCCAGCAGCTGGCAATCCTGACCGAGTTTTCCTCTCTGTGGATGGTGCCGTGGTTTGGTTTTGCCAGGATAACCTCTGTGCCTCCAGGATAGCTGGATGAGGAGGGGGCTCTGCTGAGGGTTCCCCTGGGTGGGAGGGGGTGACCTGGAGGGACCTGCTGGCCTCCAGCCACCAGCAGATGCTCAGCCAGCTCCCTCCCATGCCGGTCCTGACGATGCCCAAGGTCTTGGATCAGCTGCCCTGAGCACAGCTTGGCCTCTCCCACGCTGCGGCTGGCTCGGGAAAACCTTTCCCAAGGAACCCCGTGGCTTCGTTCCCACCTTCCCTGCACCAAACACGATGGTTTTGTCGCAGCTGGAGCAGCTGGAGCACAGGGAGCAGCCCCGGAGCCTTTCCCAGCCGCCCGGGTCCGGGCTCTCCGAGAGCCTCGGTAATGTCTGGCCCTCGTTTCTTCTCGTTCCGCAGTGTGGGGCTTTGGTTTTCTCAGTGTGTCCATGATTAACGTGGCCTCCCTGCTCGGAGTCCTCATCGTGCCGTGCTCCCAGAAGGCCTTTTTCAGCCGGGTGCTGCTGTTTTTCATCGCGCTCTCCATCGGCACGCTGCTCTCTAACGCGCTCTTCCAGCTCATCCCAGAGGTGCGGTAGAACGTCCCTGCCTCTCTCCCGTCTCCAGGGCAGCTCCGTGGGCGCCCTCTCTGCCTCCACCCCGCCGAATCGATCCGACCCCTCGTCACCCGAGGCTCAGGGCTTGGCTCAAGGGGCTCTGCAGGGCTTTGCTCACCCCTCTGAGCACCAGGAAACCCTCAGTGTCCTCCATCCTGCCACCTCTGGGGAGTGGGAATGTGCTGGGAGAAGCTGTTTGCTCCTGCTCCGGGTGTCCAGGAGTTTATCCCTTGGAGGGATGTGCTCAGCCATGCTTGTGGTAGCAGTACTGGCATGAGCCAGAGGGAAAAAAATGTGAAATATCCACGTAAATATCATCAGATATCCATATAAAAGCATGGAGAACAGCCTAGAGAAGCACTGGCTTCCTCTGGAATCGGCCAACTTTTACAAATCCTTTCACTGCTTTTTTTTCCCCCTTACCTGATTTCCCAGCCTGATGTTCCCACAAGGGTTCTGGCTTCCCTGAGGTTTCCTGGTGCTCTGATGGGACTGACAGAAATATCACAAATTAATTGTGTTGTAATTGTGCAGTTCTGGAGCTGAATAAATCCACCCGGATTGGAAACCTTTGGAACGTGGTCCAGGTGCCCCTTCAGAGGATGAGCTGGATTTGGCACATCCAACCTTAAAATTCCAGTGGGTTTTTCCCCCTGGCGTTGCCTGTTTGCTGCCGAGCAGCGAACGCCTCATCCGTGCTGGCAGTGGGATGTTTTTCCAAGCTTTTCAGCTCCAGAACTGCAACTTTTATTTGCTGGACATAGAAACCAAGCGCCTCTAATTCCTGATCTGGCAGGAATTGAAATGCCAGAGGTACACTCCAGCCCCCCCGGCACCCGGGGCGCCCCGGCAGGGACCGGCTGCAGGACAGGGCTGGAGCGTACGAGGTGCTCGGGGGACTCGGGCACTCCGTGGCTTGGGAACGACCCAGGGAGCAGAGCTGGGGGCTGCCTGGGACATGGCCTGGCTGCCAACACTCAGCTGAGATTCCCAAAGCCGCCGAGCGCCGGGTTCGCCCTTCGGAGGTGGCGCCAGATGAACAACAATCACTAATGAATGTCCTCTTCTCTCCCTCCCTCCTCTCTCTGTGCTGTCGGTGTGGATTCCTCCCCTGCCCATCCCCACGCTGATCTCGTCCCCTCCCGTCTCCCGTCTCCCGGGGTGGGTTTGGCTCTGCCAGTCTGGGGTTACGGTTTCCTCTGCGTCTCCGTCATCTCCCTGTGCTCGCTGGTGGGAGCCAGCGTGGTGCCCTTCATGAAGAAGACCTTTTACAAGCGGCTGCTCCTCTACTTCATAGCTCTGGCGATTGGAACTCTCTACTCCAACGCCCTCTTCCAGCTCATTCCCGAGGTAGGGAGAGGACGGGCGGGTCTGTGCTTTTCTCTCTCTCTCTGGGGCTGTTTCTCTGTCTCGCTGGCTGGAGAAGGGGAAGGCGGCGTCCGAGGGGAGCCCCGAGCGAGGTATGGAGGGCTGGAAGCCCCTCGGAGCTGCAGTTTGGAAGGGAATGGCTCCAGGGAGATCCCCGGTCTGCTTCAAGCAGAGAATCGTTGTTTTATTGCCTTTTCTGGCTTTTTCTGGCCCTGGAGGTAGGTCCCTGAGCAGGTTTGGCACCCCTGCCCCAGGGCAGGTGCTGGATCAATGGCTCCTTGGAGTAGGAAGTGAGGGAGATTCAAGGTGTTTCCTCAGCTTGTCCCCAAAGCAGCTGCTCCTCAGAGAGAGCTCAGAGCTGTGTCACCCCTCCAGTGTCACCCCAGGGGCAAAGGCAGATGAAGGACACTGCCAGGGCCTGCTCCTCATCCTCTCCCGGGTCCCCTCCTGCCTGCAGGCGTTTGGATTCAACCCTCAGGAAGATTATTACGTTTCCAAATCCGCTGTGGTGTTCGGGGGCTTCTACCTCTTCTTCTTCACGGAGAAGATCCTGAAGATGGTCCTGAAGCAGAAGGACCAGGTGAGGTGGAGCAGGGGATGGTGGGGTGGGAAACAGCAGGAATTTCGGGATGGGAAAGAGCAGGAATATTGGGATGGTGGGGTGGGAAACAGCAGGAATTTCGGGATGGGAAAGAGCAGGAATATTGGGATGGTGGGGTGGGAAACAGCAGGAATTTCAGGATGGGAAAGAGCAGGAGTATTGGGATTGTGAGGTGGGAAAGAGCAGGGATATTGAAGTGATTGGGGTGGAAAACAGGAATTTCAGGATGGAGGGGTGGGAAACAGGAATATTGGGATAGTGGGGTCGGAAACAGCAGGGATATTGGGGTGGCACAGTGGGAAAGAGCAGGAATTTCAGGGTAGTGGAGCAGGAAAGAGCAGGGATATTGGGATGGCAGGGCAGGAAAGAGCAGGAATATCAGAGTGACTGACAGCCCTGAATCCCCTGGTCCTGCAGCACCACCATGGGCACAGCCACTACGGCCCCGAGGCTCTGCCCTCCAAGAAGGACCGGGAGGAGGGGGTCACGGAGAAGCTGCAGAACGGGGACCTGGACCACATGATCCCACACATCACCAGCGACCTGGAGTGCAAGCCCCCCTCGGGGGATGAGAAGGCCGTGGTGGGCTCCCTCTCTGTCCAGGTGAGCACCTCATCCCGTGGCATTGTGGCAAAATCCCACCTGTCAGTTAAAACCAGTTCTGCAGCCCAAATTCTCTGTGTGTGGTGGGACCAAACAGTGTGGGTGTAATGATTCGTGGGGTGGTTTTCCCATCTGGAGGAGGGACCAGTGACCCCATTTGGGTGCTGATCCCCATTTTGGGGCGCTGGCAGGACCTGCAGGCCTCCCAGAGCGCGTGCTACTGGCTGAAGGAGGTGAGGTACTCAGACATTGGGACGCTGGCCTGGATGATCACACTCAGTGATGGCCTCCACAACTTCATCGACGGCCTGGCCATCGGCGCCTCCTTCACCGTGTCTGTTTTCCAAGGGATCAGCACCTCCGTGGCCATCCTCTGCGAGGAGTTCCCACACGAGCTGGGTAGGTCACTCCTTGGGGCTGCCCCTGCTCCTGCTTGCTGTGGACTCTGTCCTTTGTCCATCCAGGAAGGCAGATTTGGGGTGGAATAAAGAGTGATGCTGCTGAGAGGGGAGAGAGGGAGGGCTGTAAACTGCTCTGAGTAATCGCCGCTCTAAAAATAACGAGGTAATATGATGTCTGAGATTTAAATTTAGATGGAGGCATCTGAAGACAAAAAAAACCCCTCAACTCCTCCTTGGTTTGGGAGGGGGGAGGCGGGTTTGGGTGGGAATGTCTGAATTTGGAGTGGTCAGTGGAGGGGAGGTGGGTTTGGGTGCGAGTCTGTGGGTTTAGGGACAGTGCTGTGGTCAGTGAGTGGGAGGCAAGTTTGGGTGTGAATGTCCAAATTTAGGGGCAGTTGAGGTGGGGGGTGGCTTTGGGTATGAATGTCTGAATTTAGGAGCAGTGGAGAGATCAGTGCAGGAGAGGCAGGTTTGGGTGTGAATGTCTGAACTTAGGAGCCCTCCAGAGATCAGTGCAGCAGAGGCACGTTTGGGTGTGAATGTCTGAATTTAGGGGCAGTGTGATAGTCAGTGCCCATTGCCAGCAGCCACAGGGAGCCCACACTTGAGCTGGCACATGCTGTGATGTTTGGGGTGCTCTGTGCACTCCAGGGGTTGGACTCTGATCCTTTGTGTCCATTCCAACTCGGGATATTCCGGGTTTCTGAGTTCAAGTGGGTGCTGTCCCAGTGCTGCTGTCAGCCCTTCCCTCCTCATCCTCCCATCTTCTTCTGCCTCAGGGGACTTTGTGATCTTGCTCAATGCTGGGATGACCATTCGTCAGGCACTCTTCTTCAACTTCATCTCTGCCTGCTGCTGCTACGTGGGCCTGGCCTTCGGCATCGTGGCCGGCAGCCACTTCTCTGCCAACTGGATCTTTGCTCTGGCTGGAGGGATGTTCCTGTACATAGCCCTGGCTGACATGGTAAATCCTGAGCCCCAAATCCTGATGAGCCCTGGGATTTTTTCCCAGGAAAAGCTCTGCTTTCCCTCAGGCTGCAGGCACGGCGGGGTTTGCTCTGTCCCCTTGGCACATGCAGATATCTCTGCTTTGCTTTGCCCGGCTGAAATCCCCAGGATGGGAGGCTGGTGGGTGTTTGCTGAGGAAGGATGGGGCTGTCACTGAGCCCTGCCATCCCAATGTTTCCCCCTGCAGTTCCCTGAGATGAACGAGGTGAGCCGGGAGGATGAGCAGAACGGCAGCGCCCTGATCACCTTCGCCATCCAGAACGCGGGGCTGCTCACGGGCTTCACCATCATGGTGCTGCTCACCATGTACTCGGGGCAGATCCAGATAGGGTAGGAGCAGCCCGAGCTGCAGCCCTGATCCAATTTTTCCATGTTTTTTTTTTCTGGGGGGGAAGGGTTTTTTCTTTTTTTTTTTTTTTCTTTCCTTTTCCTGCTGCAAACATACGACGGTACCTGTGCGGGCACTGACGTCACACTACAGGAGAGACATTGCTTTGAAAGCTATTCCATGGATTTTTTTTCTGGTTTAAGGCTGAGGGGAGTGGCATTCCCCTTCCCATAGGACTGACCTGACTTTGTCCAGTGTCATATCCCTTCTCTCCTCGCCTGTCCCAGGAAGGATGGAATGGGGAGACAGGAGCTGCTCCTCTCGCTGTGCTTGGAGCGTTCCCATGGCACGTGAGGCTGTCCTGACCCCTCTGGGGGTGTGCTGGGGACAGACAGGGACAGACCCTTCTCAGAGTGTTCCCCACAGCCAGCCCTCAGAGCTGTGCTCTCCGAGGATGAGGAGGTTCATGGTGTCACCATCATCCGACTGCTTTTGCTCCGTTTCAGCCCGGACAATGCCCTGGCAAGAGCAGGGTGAAGAGGGCAGGGGTTTTAAAGCACATTTTGGGTGTCAGTGCTCAGAGCAGAGCACACCAAACTGGGTTGGAGTGACACTTGGCTGCTGGAAGAAGCCTGCCAGGGTGCCCTGACCCTCCCTTCAGTCCATGCTGCTGGAATGAGGGGAAAACCCCCACTCCTCCATGAGGGCTGCTCGGAAGGGGATGAGAGCAGAGCCCTGCCCGGCCGCAGGCTCCAGCCCAGGGATTTCTCCTCAGGCTGTGTCCAAGCTCACGGTGACACCCAGGAACAGCCACCAGTTTTTAAACAGTGCTAAGGTTCAGGGTGGGGTGGGGGGTGTTTTTAAAAGCAAAACTCAGACTGTGAACCTCTTTAGGTTGCGTGTTCCCAGCCGTAGGGAGTAGCCAGAGAAGGGCGTTCCAGGCACTTCCCAGCTCTGCCTCCGGGCTGGCCTTCCCCAGATTCACTAGGTGAATTACTTATTATCATATTGATAAGGTTGCCCACCCCACCTGTGTTGCTTGAGGTTCCCTCACACACCTTTGGCCCTCAGACCCCTCGTCCTGTACCTGGTGTGAGCTTGTGGCCATGTGGATTCAGGGGAATCCCTCGTGGTGTGGTGCTGGATTGGGATGGAGAGGTGCAGGTGCTCTGCAGGTGTTTGTGAGGTGTCTTCCTTCACTGCCCACCTGTGCAGGTGTGTGGGGTGTGACAGGGTGGTGGCACTGTGCTGGAGCAGAGGCTCCCACACCTTCCCTTCGCCCTCTGAGGAAGGCAAACCTGAGGCTGTGCCAGGTGTTATTCCTGCCCACCTCAGGACAGAGGGCCCTGGCACAGGCTCAGCACCCCTGGCAGCGTTGCTCCCTGGCTGGATCTCTGTAATCCCTGAATTCCTGTAGTTCCCAGCTGGGTGATGTTCTTCCTAAGCTCCCAACAGCTGTCACCAAGCCCGTGCCCTCTGGCACTGCCAGGATCCTCGTGGATCATCACCTGCACTCTCCGTGGCTTTTCCAGTCTGGGCATTTGTCCCCTCAGCGCCCTCCAGCTCTTGGCTTTGTCCTGCACCCCAAAACCCAAATATCAGTTCTAGAGGAGCCTTTTTGGGGCGACCTGAAGCTCCTCGGGTGATTCCTCAAGGAGAGATAGGCTCCACTTTGTCCCGTGTGCTGTCCCTTGTGGATTGTCACCAAAAGTCACTTTTGCCACTGGAGCAGAGCAGCGTGGCCTGTGCCGGCTGGGGCAGTCATGAAATTCATCACCTGGCAGGCATTCCCTGTGCTGCAGGTTCCAGGGCCAGAGGGGCACTGGAAACACTTTTTCCTTGCTTGAGAGAGTCGGCCCCAGCTGACTGCCTTGATGTGGAAAATCTGAGTCCTTCCACTGGCACAGGTGCCCTCTCCCCCCTCTCAAGGAAGCACTTGGAGAACAGTGTGGCTGGCAGGGCACAGGAGCTGCACCCCGGCTGGAAAAGCCTCTGTGGGGCAGGACAGGGGGAAATGGGGGGTTTGTCCCCTCTGGACTGTGCCTGGGAGGTCCCCAGGGGCTGGGAAGGGGCAGAGAGCAGGGCTTGGCGTCCTCAGAGCCAGCAGGATTCCCTGTGGGCATCACAACCTCTCGTTTCCAGTCTGTCCCTGTTTGCTGAGAAATCTGCCTGGAGATTTGGGATTGGGGGTGAGAACCGAGGCTGCCCTGCCACCAAGGAGAGCTCCTGATCCCCCTGGGCAGGCTGGCACCTGCCGGTGGGAGAGGAGTGGGAGCCCAGCCAAACCGAGCCCCTCGTGGATTTCCATCCGTGTCTCCTTCCCCTCACGTTCCATCTCAGTATTTCAATTACAACTCAGGTGTTGTAGGAGAGAAACAAAGAGCGTTAACTTAAATGTCACGTGAATTGTACAGATATTTGTAAAATTCCATAAATAAAATATATTCTGTAATGACGGGGGGTCCCAGGCGTGCTCCGCAGTGAAATCTCCCTGCTGGAGGGGTGGGAGCGCTGCTGGCTCAGGATTTTTCCAAGGGGAAGGGCTGGAGCCGGGCTGGGTGATGCAATCCCGCTTTTCCAGCTGGATTTCCCTGGCTGTGCAGTGCGGCGCGGCTGACGGAAGGTGGCACTGAGAACCCCCAGCCTGCCCGCATGGCACGGCCTTTGCGGCTGCAAAAACCCTCCCTTAATTATTTATATAGAAATATTTATTTATTTTTTTTTTAATTTATCTGAAAAAAAAAAAAAAAAAAGAAACTTTGCTTTTCTACTTCCCCTTTTTCTACACCATTCCCCCCCATCTGCCAGCTCTGAGCAGCAAACTCAATTTTTATATACCCTGTTGCAGCTAAAGAAACCAAATCTTGATATTCTGAGGTGCTTTATTTAAAAACTTAATGTTTTATTAAGCAGTGAGCATTGCTCCTGCTCACCAGCCCTTCTAGGGGGGCTCTGGGTGGGCTCTCTTCTGCTGCAAACTCTTTGTGTTCTGCTGAATGCCTGGAAGCTGAGTTACCTCAGAAAACGCTGCTGGATGGGGTCATGGAGTTCCTGGAATGGTTTGGGTTGGTTAAAACCCATCCAGTGCCATGGCAGGGACACCTTTTACCCAAAGTTGCTCCAGCCTGGCCCTGGGCACTGCCAGGGATCCAGGGGCAGCCACAGCTCCTCTGGGAATTCCATCCCAGCCCTCCCGGCCAGGAATTCCATCCCACTGTCCCATCTAACCCTGTCCTCCTCCATCCTCAATGGCAGGAGCAGCCCATCGTCTGTTCTTCCTTTGCATCAAAAATGTTCTGTCTGAGGAATATCAGCTCTGGAGCCCGGCTGGGAGTGTTCAGCTGGGGAAGGGAAGGATGCAGGGAGAGCTCAGAGTTTCTTCCAGGGCTGAAGGGAGCCAGGAGAGCTGGAGAGGGGCTGGGACAGGGGATGGAGGGACAGGACACAGGAATGCCAGAGAGATGGGTCAGATGGGATATCAGGAAGGAAAAGTCCTTTCCTAATGACTTTCAGGCACCTTTCTCCACGTCCAGTCTGTTTGTTTTTTTTTCCCAAATGGAAGATACTGAAAGTGTGTGTGGGAATTTTAAACCCCTGAAATTTCAGTGCCCACTTTGTGTGGGAACCTCCTGGATGTGTTTCAGCACGGACAGGGACTTGGCTTCCCACTGCCGAGGACAGGGTTAAATGGGACATTGAGGATAAATTGAATATTGAGGAGCAATTCCTGGCTGTGAAGGTGGCGAGGGGCTGGGATGGAATTCCCAGAGAAGCCGTGCCTGCCCCTGAATCCCTGGAAGTGCCCAAGGCCAGCTTGGAGCAACCTGGGACAGTGACAGGTGTCGCTGGGCACGGCAGGGGCGGCGCTGGCTGACCCTCACAGTCCCTCCCACGGCAGTGTGGGGTCCCACGGCTGTCCTGCCGCCGTGCCCGAGGGCTGTGCCCGAGGCTGCCCGCTCCCCCTCAGCGCCATCCCCGCTCCCCCTCAGCGCCGCCGCCATGTTGCCCCCCCGTTGCTTAGCAACGCCCCCTTCCCCTCCAAGATGGCGGGTCCGCCGGGAGCACCCGCGCGGCCCCCGCTCCGGGTGAGGGCAGCGGAGTGGGGCATCGGCGGGCAGCGGTGCCGCCGGCGCCGCCACCATGTCCGGGCGCGGCCACAACAAGCTGCCGACCACCGAGCGCATCGTCAAGGGTGAGGGGGCGGCGAGGGCGCCCCCTGCCTGCGCGGGGGGCGCGGGGGGGCGCGAGAAATGGGGGGCGAGCGAGGGTTTGGGGGGGGTCCCAAGCTGGGGGAGCCCCGGGAAAAGGGAGGGGAATATGCCTGGTTTGGGGGAGGCCGGAGGAAGTGGTGGGGGTGAAGCGTGGTTTTAGGGGGGGGGATTCCAGGCTGGGGACCCCCAGAAAAGAGGGGGGAGCGTGGTTAAAGGGGGGCGTCTCCAGAGTGGGGGAGCCCGGAGAAGGGGAGGGAGGCTCATTTGGGGGTCCCCAGGTTGGAGGAGCCCGGAGAAAGGAGAGGGAGGGAGGGTGGTGTGGGAGGAGGGGGAGCCTGGTTTAGGGGGATATTCCCGAGGAATAGGGGGGTATGCCTGGTTTGGGGGGGGTCCCCTGGTTAGCGGAGCCCCCCCGGCTGGGGAAACCCGGAGAAAGGGAGGGGGATGCCTGGTTTGGGCGAGGGCAGCCTGTTCTGGAGGGGGAGCCTGCTTTGAGGGGGGGTCCCCAGGTTGGGAAGAACCGAGAAAGGGCGGGGGCAGCGTGGTTTTGGGGGGCTGTTCTGGCGGGGCACCCCCGTTAAAGGAGGGCCTGGGGGGTGCCCGGAGTGCTGGGGAGGGGGTGTTCTGGTGGGTGACCCCCATTAGGGATGACTCTGGTTTTGGGGGGGTCATCCCCTGAGTGGGGTGAGATTGGGGGGAGGCTGGAAAATCGGGGCAGAGCGTAGTTTGGGGGGGTCATCCCCAAGAGAGAGGGGAGGGGGAGGCCTGGAGCAGCTGGAGGGGGGGTCCAGTGGGACAGCCCCCAGAAGGGAGAGCCCTGATGGGGGGGTCGGGCTGGGGGGACACCCCCTGTTCGGTCAGAGACCTCCGAGGGGAGCTGAGGGGCCTTTGGCTTGGGGGGCACCTGCGCTGAGGGGTGAGGGGGGCATTTTTAAACCCCCCTGGTCCGAGAGGATGCAGCCCCCTCCCTCCATTCTGTGGGCATGGCTGGGGGTGACAGGGAGGGGTGACAGCAGGGGACATCCCTTGTGGTGGGAGGGGGGAATCCCCATCCTGGCCTGGGCCTCATCACCCCCCCCAAGAGCCTCACCCCTGGATTGGGGCGCTGAGTCCTTGCTTTGGGTGGAACTGGGGTTCCCCTGAGGGTTTGGGGGAAGGGGGGGTGAGAGCCCTCATGCCGGCAGCCCCCCATGTCTTTCCTCCCCCAAGTCGCTGCTCGGTGTCTGGATGCCCCGCGGCGGTGCCAGCTGGCCCCCTCTGCGGCCCCGTTATAGTAGGTACTATTTTGGAAAGAGCAGAAGACACCGAAGCAGTTAATGAGGAGAGAAATACGTTAGCGGAGAAACTCCTGGATCGGGAGGAGGAGGCTTGGGGGGGATGCACATTTCGCTGCCCTAATTGATCCGGTGCCATCCTCGTCCCCATGCACCAGGAACATCCACTGGCTGCCTCAACTTTCGCCGGGAGGCTCCAAGTTACACAATCACCCCGTTATTAAAGCTCCTCCCGCCATGGCTTCCATCATTCCGGGCCGCTGGAAAGCAGCGATTTCCCAGGAATGGTTGTAATCCCCGGCCATGGAGGTGTACCCACCACGCTGCCATCTCTCCCTTCCCCTCTGCATGCGTCCAAGCCGTTTTTTATTTATTTCTTTTTTTTCTTTTCTTTTTTTTTTTTTTTCCTTTTTAGCCTTTAGCCTGTCATGTGGCCGATCACATGTTTGATGTTAATAACCTCAAACCCAGGGAAAGGGGATCCGGGTGGCAGCCGGAGCGTGGAGGCCCCTCGGGCTCGGGGAAGCTCCACGGTGGGAGGGTTTTGTTTTAATGGGAATAATCCCACAGCACTCACAGATTTGGGGGGATCCGGGGTGTTCCGGGGCCGTGCGTGTGCCGTGGTGATTTGTAGGTCTCTGCTGTCTGTAAATCTCCTGCTAAATCCCAGGCAGCTGCCTGTGTTTAGGTTGGCCTTGCTCGGGAAAGGTAACGGCAATGCAGCCATTATGATTCAGCTGAGTCGGCCGGATCCAGGCTCTCTCCCCATTCCCGGGGCTTCCAGACCCCGGGAATCCCTGTCAGGGATCCTCCTGCTCCCTCTCAGGGCTTTGGCAACCCCACAAAAATCCTGCTAATTGCTGTCGTTAATCCCTGTCCAGGTGGGGTGGAGGCTCAGGGCCTGCTCGCCCCAAAATCGCCCCAAAATCGCCCCAAAATCGCCCCAAAATCCTCCCAAAGATTGCTTCTTATTGCCCCAGGTGCACTCAGTGCCTGTGGAAATTTGGGGAGAAATACCTCCTTCTCAGGCCAGGGTTATTGTTTAAAGGTGGTGACATTATTCGTGGTTATTAATAATTAAAAAGTGAAGATAAAAGCTCATTTTGTTCCGTGGAAAGTGCCTGCAATTAAGTAGGATGTGGAATTTTAACTATGTTTAACCTATATATTTACATCTCCTGGGCCCTGCAGAACGCCTTAACTGTAATTACGTTTAGTCAGAGGAAATACAGTTTTGGGCTAAAACTTGTACTGGGAGAGCTTCATTATTAAAATCACAAATTTTGGGGTGTGTCAAGGATAGATTTTTATTAAAATCTTGAATTTTGGGGTAGGCCAAGAATTGCTTTTTTGAAAATCTCCAATTTTTGGGTGCTTCAGAAAATTTTTTAACTGAAATCTTGGCTTTTGGGGTAGGTCAGGAGTGGCTTTTTAAAAAATCTCTCATTTTGGGATTTGTCAGGAGTTCCTTTTTATTAATACCTCAAATTTTGTGGCAGTAATTGCACTTTGTGGTGCTGCTTTTGCAAGAAACTGATGGTGATGGAGACTATTAATGTCCAAATTTTGGTCTCCAAAGAGCACTTGGGAAGGTTCTGCTGGAAATCTGAGGGATTAGATTGTCTGCATCAGCCCAAAATTTGGGCTTGAATTACCTGCTGGATCCATGGGATGGATGGATCCACATCCTACAAAATCCACATTATTCAGGCAGGTGGGAATGGTGCTGCTGCAGTGGATGGATCCTGGAGCTCAGGGTGTTTAAAAGAGACCTGCAGAGCTTTTTTGGTTGTATTTGGTTGAATTTTGTGCTTGTTTTTTGGTTGAATTTTGTGTGCCTGCTCCATTCTTCCTGCTGGAAGGTGTAAAATCCTCAGGGAAGCAGAGCTGTGTCCAGTTGCCTCCATGAGAAATCCTTTAAAAACCTGAGATATTGGTATTTAGACACCAGAGCAAACAATCCACTGGGATTTTTCTCTGTCTATGTGTTATTATTTTTTATATCATGGACAAACTGTTGGGCTGGAGCAGCCTGGATCCAGTGCCCACTTTTTGGAGCTGATGTTGGAAGTCAGAGACATCCCTAATTCCCACCCTGCCCCAGAGTGCCCGGCTGGGATTCCTGAAGTGGTTTCCTGCTTTTCTGAGGAGGGTGAATCCCAGGAATTGTGCTGTAAAGCTGGGGCTGGTGCTGTGGCCAAAGGTGTCCTGGGAACGGCTGGGTTTTCCCTACTTGTGTTTGCTGCCCTTTCTTAAGGAATTTCAGGCACCTTTCTCCACGTCCAGTCTGGTTTTTTTCCCAAATGGAAGACACTGAAAGTGTGTGTGGGAATTTTAAACCCCTGGAATTTCAGTGTCCACTTTGTGTGGGAACCTCCTGGATGTGTTTCAGCAGGGACAGGGACTTGGGACAAGGGATGGCTTCCCACTGCCAGAGGGCAGGGATAAATGGGATGCTGGGGAGGAATTCCTGGCTGGGAGGGTTGAGGGGCTGGGATGGAATTCCCAGAGAAGCTGTGGCTGCCCCTGGAGGTGTCCAAGGCCAGCTTGGAGTACCCTGGGATAGTGGGAGGTGTGGAATGATAATGGGGTAGGAGGTGGAATGAGGTGATTTTGAGGTGATTTTGAGGCCCTTGCCCCCCAGCCCATTCCATAATCCACAATTCCACCTTGGAGCACCCTGGGATAGTGGAAGGTTTGGAATGATAGTGGGATAGGGGCTGGAATGAGGTGATTTCGAGGTGATTTCAAGGCCTTTTATCCCCCAGCCCATTCCATAATCCACAATTCCAGCTTGCATCCCCCTGGGATAGTGTGAGGTTTGGAATGATAGTGGGGTAGGGGCTGGAACGAGGTGATTTTGAGGTGATTTCAAGGCCTTTTATCCCCCAGCCCATTCCAAAATCCACAATTCCGTGCTATCGCTGCCCTGTTTCACACCCAGCCAAGGTTTTTTGGGAACATCCCCTAGCCTCAGTGACCCCTCCACCCTCAGCCCAGGTGGGATGACACCCGAGGAGCCTCTCCCTCCTCCCTGTGTGCCTCTGGAGCTGCTGGAGGCACGGAGAGAATCCCACGGGATTTGTTCCCACAGCCTCTGGGGAGCCCAAAGCCAGGCTCAGCTCAATCGCTGCCTCCTCAGAGAGTTCAGAGGCTGCTCCAGTTCATCTCTCTGCCTCAAGATGCTTTTGGGGGATGAGAAATGTGCAGCTTTCTTCCCACCTTGTTTTTAATATCATCTACAACTCTGGGAGCTCGAGTGTTGGATATTCTCCAGGTTGGGAGGTGTTGGGAATTTTCGTCGTGGAGCAAGCGCTGATACGAAAGTCAAAGTTGCTTTTTAATTGAGGAAATCTTAAATTTCGAGGAGATTGTGGGGTTTTAAACTCACTGCTTGGTTTGGCTTGTTTAGTGTTGATGTCTTGCGGGAATTAAAGGATACCTAGGGGGAAAAGGAGCTCTGAAAATGGCTAAAAATGGAATAAAGGCCAAGGTCCATGTGCTCGGACCTTGGGATGCCAAGGGAAAAGTGTGAATGCCAGCAGGGTCAAGACGTGGAGGGGGATCCCTAAAAAGCAAGTTGTGTCATAATCCAGCAACTTGGCTGGACAGAGCTCAAGGAGGTGTGGGGTGAGGCAGTCCTTAAAGCAGGAACCCCATGGGATCCCATGGAATTACTTGTAAACGTGGTGTTTTGGGGGGGTTTC